AAGTCGCGAACCGGTGTGCGCCTTGGAAAATTGCCAGTGGTGAGGAGAACCTTGTTTTGCAGGCGCTGCAATTTCACTAGATGGGAACTCCGAGGCGGGACTAGCATAAGTCATTACAGATCTAATGAGAGCTTTGTGGAGGGTCATTTTAATGTTAGCGCTCAGTCGCTCACTTTTGAATAGGGAATACACTCTAATGAATGTTCTGAAGGCCTTGGCTCCGATCATTTCTATGTGCAATCTCCATGTAACTCTCTTATTGAAGATTACACCTAGATATTTTGCACTATTTACAAATGAAATATTTCGTCCATTTAGAGTGAGACAAGACTCAGGAGGTCGACAACTACGAGAGAAGTAGATCCCTTGAGTATTATCTTAATTAATGTTAATGTTCCATTGCTCACATCAGGTCTCCATTGAGCTGAGACCGCGCTGGAGTTTTCTAACAACAAAACCCTCCTTGCGATCTGTCGCACACATCTCTGTATTCTTAAAGTCAAAGTAACATTGCGACTGACGGTCAGTCAGTCAGTAAGTCTTGGTGTCGAGCCCCATGTGGGGCAGATATTTATTACTGTCTGACATTTACGGTTTTACTGAACCCTCTTATAAATCCTCGGCACGTACCTAACGGAAAACACCACCTCTGTTATCAAGAATGCGTGATTATTGGTCCGTTACATAGCAATGGATGTCCTTAAATTGTTTCGAGCGTAACTTCAGGAATGTGGTTACGAGCCGTTGCCTAGCAATGGGCATATGCGTCACAATATTTTCTTGCTTCCTGTGTTTGTGCTGATATGTGTAGGTAGAGGCCTTGCTACTGACCGATCCCCCTTCTGAGGAATCCTACCAAACGTCTATAAACAATATTCTCGAACTAAGGAAACGAGGGACCTTGGACTGCCTTGATCTGTCGTGACGCGTAAGAGCAAGAATATTCATACGACATTATTAAGGAACTCTTTTGCTTACGTTGAGTGTTGTACGTCATCCCACAAATGACGTAAGTTTCTATCATGATACATAGTTAAATATTTGTGTCTGTGGGATGAGTCAACAGAAACCAGATTTATAAGCAAATAAAGACTGTGCTCACGCTCGCCAGGCTTGTGCTCGTCGGGAGACTCGTCTGGCTTTTACTTGTGCTCGTAAATCTTCGTCCACACTACTTCAGTTGCTCGCCAGGCTTCGGCGCGTGAGGATCCGTATAGTTACTCGTAGTGTGTATAGGCTGTTTTCGTGTTTTAATTTATTGGCTATAGTTCTTAAATTAAAAATTAAAAATTTGCTTGTCTCGTGACTTGTCATATCGTCCACACTAGCCGCGAGCATAGCGAGTCGCACGAGCACGAGTAATGTGGACGAGCCTTAAGAGTTTCAAAATGTTTCTGAGTTTCCTGTCTTGGAATCCAATTTCTTCCTCACTTTCTGTATTTTACCGATACTGGAACTGTGTTGCTACATTGTACAGGATGTACCATTTAATACGCAACCCTAACTACAGCATCATACGCGAACTTACAGGTGACTTCAATATTGTCCTATTTGGAGCATCCCTGTCAGGGTACGTATTACCGAACCCTTCACGAACAGCAGCTTCGGTGCGAAGTATTGTTGGAGAATGAACATGAGAACTACTCGTGAGTACACCCTGGTCGCATTTGCAGAGCTCCTGCGCAACTGGCGACAGCAGCAGCCTAGCAACTAGGGTGACATTAATCCGAGGATCAGCAGGAATGTCAGGAAAACAAATTATACGGGGAGGAAGTGAGGGAAGCTTCCGATTTCATTCTTGGATTGCAGTATGTGTTTTTTTTTTTACTTACTTTGAAATGGTACACGCTCTATTTACATCAGTACAAAAACAATTCCTTTCATAAGGGATGTATGCAGGAAATTCTTGTTATTGTTCATAAGTTGGTACCTTTGCCTCGCCTAGTTTCCAGAACACTATGGTTAAGACATGCAAAGGATTTATCCGGCCGTGAGACGTAAGTTCTTACGCCGAAGGAAGAAAATAAATTACAATTATGCGCTCTGGAACAATACTGCTCTACGAGTGGGAAGCGAAAGAGATTGCATAACAAATATCTTGATAATTTATACAGCGCACATGACATCTCTTTTTCCCCCATATGTCAGTTTATAAAATGATATACATTTTACTGGTTTTTCCTTAGTAATTACGAGTAATCTAATTTCCATATTTCCTTGCAATTTTCTTGAGCTTACATGGATTAGGCATCCAGATTTAAGATTAATTTTGAAACTATAAATCATTTAGAAACCGGTATAGCTCAGTCGATATAGCGATGGGCTACTGGGTGGACGGCTCGGGCTCGATTTCTGGCAGCCACAAATATTTTTCTGTCTCACGGCGTCCAGATCGGTTCTGAGGCTCGCCTAGCCGCCTTTCGAATATATATCGGGTGCAAGGCAGCCAGGGGCGTGAAGCTGACCACTTATCTCCGTCTAGTGTCGAGACCGAAAATGGTGGAGCTATATTTCCTATCTCCCTTACGTCTTCATTGCATGGTGCACAATTACTGGAACACAGCGGCAATATAGCAGACAAACCCCGGGGACCTACATCCCTAATAGAATTCGAAACTGCAGTTGGTCAAGCAGTCCAAGATCCTACTCGCTTCAGACAGCACTCCGAAAAAAAAATCCGTGGTTTCAGTCCACAAGCGAACTATACCCACCGAGCGACCGCCGCTTGTCGGCGAAGTTTAGTGCCAACTTTTGCAAATAGAGAATGTCGCGTGGTCAGCGCAACGAATCCCCACAGCCGTTAATTTCGATTTTCTAGACCGGAGCCGCTATTTCCTTGAAATAGCTCCTCAATCATTATCACGAGACTGAGTCGACCCCGTTCCAGACCCACTACGTCTCAGAAAAAACATGGTAGCTCCGGGAATCGAACCCGGACCTCTGGATCTGTAGCCAGGAACGCTGACCAGTAGACCACAGAGGCGCACCTTCAGACAGCACATCCATTGAAATTTCTTTAATTGGCGGTATAACTTTATCCATGCGTTCTTTTGTCATTCTGTCTCCTTACACCGTAACTACGAGTATGTTGAGGAATTACCGTTTGTTTACATGATGGACATTCAACTGTGAACGTTAGCTCAAGTTTTAACTCATCTGACTCGTATTCTGGATGTGTCCCAATCGAATCTCTGCTGGGACACCCACTGCCCTCAGATTCCTCATAGTTTCAAATCCCTCCAAGCAATTACAGGAGCAGCACTGCATAGTACATATATCATGACCGCGTCCTTCCACATCCTTTGTAACTCATTTTTTCATAAATAATCGAATCGTTTGATGCCATATACTCTGAGCTAACGACAGCGTCGTTAAACAAGAGTAAATATGTGTATATAAATATATAAACAAATAAATAAACCGCATTTATTTGCTTGACTTCAAGTTATATTAGTACCTCCCACCTCAAATGTTCTGTACATTTCGCAATTTGTTTCCAATTACTTGTGTTTCATGATTGTAATATGTAAGTACATATAATCAGACTCGCCCTGTATATTCCACATATTGTACGGTAAACCGGACGATGAGGTTGTCACACAGTGGCTTTGCCCGCTTTGCCTCAGCCCATTGCACTAGTTAGAAGGCAGTTCGCCTTTCGACCACAGTTGCTCACATGTTAGTTGGCCTGTACTTATGAAACTACAATTCTACGAATATTAATCATGACGGTAAATCCTAAACTATATATTGAATTTGGGGTTCTCAAGACCGTGACTTTGAAGAGTATAGTCCTCTGTGTTGTGTCATAGACAGCTCGATATTTCGGAGGAACATATCGCATCTATTTCCAAAAACAGAGAACCATGTATGCGAAGATAGAGGCGTGGATAGAAGTGACCAGAAGACGAGGAAGAAGACGTAAGAAGATGCTGGATGACCTTGGGGACAGAAGAGGATATTCTCATTTGAAGGAGAAAGCTCTAGATCGCATTAAGCGGAGGAACTCTTTTGGAAGAGACTGTGGACCTGTCGTCTAACAGATTACTGATGAATGAATGAATCGCATCAATTTTCAGGGTGGAAGACCAAGCCAAGCAAGGAACCAACAGCTCGGCTTGCCGTCTGCTTCTGCCGGTTTCTAGCTTGCTACAGTTGTCGGACCTAAAGATGGAGGCGATATACTCCTCCGAAGCTTCGGGCGCTCTCCGAACTATGCAGATATTTTTAGTTTGTTGTTGTTTCTTGGCGCGGGATGAGACTGAGTCTGTCTGGTGCGTCGCTGTTGCACAGCTGATTCCTTCGTCACAACAACCTGTACACCTGAAGGTGCCCACGTTAGGCCGGAACATGTAGTGACAATATAGAGAAGTGAGAACAGTAACCGACATTGCACATAGACGGCAAATAGGCCGGAACATGTAGTGACAATATAGAGAAGTGAGAACAGTAACCGACATTGCACATAGACGGCAAAGAAGCGGAATGCAAAGGCAGAGCTACGCAATGCAACAAGACGCTGAAATTAGATATCACGGCCCAAAAGTATAAAATGCATTGTCTAAGGAACTGTTAGATATAATTTAATCTCCCCATCCTCAGAACGACAGAGAGAGAGAGAGAGAGAGAGAGGGCAAAAGAACATCGAATACATGTTTTTTAATTCGTATACTTGGGGGGTGGAGTCCAGTTGGGTCCACTCCGCACGGCGGCCACTGATTGGCCTATTTCGTCTGCCCCGGGTGGTTATGATGATGGTGAATTTGATGGAATGAAGATTGGCAGGGGAAACCGAAGTACTCGGAGAAACCCTATCCCAGCGCCACTTTGTGCACCATAAATCCCACTTGGCCAGACCCGGGCCGCTGCTGATCGAATAAATTATAGGCCATCATTATGCGAATGATTTGTTATGGCTATTGTTATAAGTATGTGTTATTATGTTGTTCCACTGAGTGATGATATTCAGGGCAGAAGTCACCTGGAGATGTTGGTTTCAGATGAAGCCCGATGGGACCATGATATGCAGAGTTACCATTCTGACTTACGCTTCTGTTTCAAACATTCTAGCTGTTGCCACTAACGGTAAGTACTGCTGTTTTCAGTCCGTAATTTCCGACATCAGCGGCTTTTATTTGCAGAAATGCAAATCACAAAATACTGGTATAATTCTGTCCGAAATAAAAGTCAAATTTTATTCGCAAAATGAAATTTGTATTCTACTGAATATATTTTCATGTATTAAATCTCAATTAACAAAAATAATAGTATAAGCAGAAAAATAATTATAATATCTTTCGGGATTACTGAGTTTTTGGACTTGTCCAGCTTCAACTGGTGTGAAAAACGATAAGCAGCAGCACTGAAATATATTGACTTATGATCTAGTACAGTGCGACGGTTTCAAAAAGTGACCAACTGTGTTAAGATGGCCAAGTATAGTCGAAATATGTAGCAATTGATTGTGATGTTAATGTTATTTTAAATTAAACAGAAATTGTGAACATTCTTTAGTTGTATGAAAGAGTGAGTGATAAATCATTTCAGCATGAGACTCAAATATAATATTAGCGGTTTAAAAACGAACTTTCTTCCCTTACATCCATAATAAAGACGAATTTTTTGGCAAGCGAACGCCGAATGGCCGACAACATATTTGCTTGACTTGCTTCCTAAGACTTCGCAATCACATTGCAGTCGCCACTCGACGGGCAACACAGCGAAGCTTGCTGTGGCCATGAAATGCACATCGCATACTAATTCGGCACACTAATGACAGGTCCCGTTTCATGCTTTAACGCCGAAATGGTTTGGGATTCCCCTTGGGGTACTACACACCTAAATATTTAGGGGAAGTACCAATAATGCAGTGCAATGCACGAGGTTCCGAACTGATAACTGCAAGCCACACAGCAATGTGTCGCTGAAAACGGAACCTGGCGACTTGCTGGAAATGGGTTTCCTCCGTTTGGAGGTACAGGCCGATACAGCGCTCCATGTTAACGAATGCTGCAGACACCAGTGACAGGAGAGTTCACAGAACGAAGTACCGTATTTACGCATGTATAGGTCGCGTGCGTGTATAGGCCGCAGCAAAATTTTCAGACAGAAATTATAGAAAAAATAATTTTCTTGGAATATTATTTCAGGAGTAGAAAACCCTGTATTACTAATTATGAATATATATATATTTTTAAATGAAGTGTGATTTCGAATATTTCGAATATAANTTTTTCAATTGGCCTAATCCTTGCAGTCACACTATGGCCCTTGAGTCGACTCAATCTCTAACAGAAATAAGTATCAGGAATCTTCCTGGGAGTAAGGGCGGCAGGCTGGCGCGTAAGGTTGACAACTTCATCACCACATGTGAGCCGATTCTCTAGAAAATGTGGGAGCCTCGACATCTCGCAACATTATGGGCCTCTATGGCCTGTCACAGGGATAGCTTTATCTTTACCTCTTCTGAGTGAATCATCTTGCAGTTCACTGAATGTTTCCCTGATGGTGGCTCGCGGCTTGTTACTGACCCACAGATTATGGGAAGGGTTATGTACTTACAGTGTCAGTGCATGTGTTGTTCATAAAAGAGGCCGCGCTGAAACTAACCAGTTATTACGACAATTCTAAGAATTCTCGAACTCCCGTTGACTAGTCTTTTGTCATTACGGCTTTGGGGCAGCATAATAATCACTCGACGCGTCCAGTGTGTGAGACAAAATCCACTGAAGCTACAGAAGATTTTACAAGAGAAAAGTTGTGCCTCCGTTTATTGATCTCTCACATTTTCAGGTTTCTATGTCAATACTAAATTGTGTCCACAGATTATGATATTTTGAAGTATTTGGAAACTAAATGTAGTCAGTTGGGTGGACAACTCTACGACGTAATTATACGAGTATGTACCTATATGGACGTTAGTGAAGATATTAACCTTTAAACGCCGGACTTTAAAAAGGCGGTAGGCTGGGCTGGCCAGTACTTATTTAAATACCCGTTGCTGCTCTACGTTTATATATCCGTTCCTGCTAGTGCGCATAAATAATTTTTACTTTCTTCTCTTCCGTTCAAAACTGTCAATATTATTAAAAACTTCGTTTTATATTTTTACTCCGATAACTTTTCTCTCGAAAGAAATCGGAAATAATATTGCGGCATGTAGACCCTTTGCTAGGTAAGAAGAGCGAAATAACCGACTATATAACAGCTGTTGCTAGGTGACGGCTCCGTCAGCAGACATGAGCGCAAGAAATTTCACGGCAACAATTGTACTTCAACAGAGGAGCGGAATTTTGTAGGCTGTCCGTGCCGAGAAGTTATAAGCAGGAACAGTGATGAGTTAGCGAAGATTTGGTTGGTCAGTTAGTGAATTGGATAGAGGACTGCTGCCGTTCAGTCGTTGTGAGCTTTTGCTATAAGAAGCTGGTAGATGAGGCCGGGGACAGTTCGAGAACCCATAGGAAGGGAGAAGTCTACCGTTGAAAGCCGCTACCAAGCAACGGTGTGTGTGTGTGTAACAGTAAATGTAAGGTTTACTCACGCGTTGTACAAAAGCGTAAGAGTTTAATAAACCTGTTTAGCAATCCAAACCCCGTCTATAGTCACTCAATACACGTGACAGTGTTCTTAAATTATAGGACCTAATCACGAATAACTGTTAAAACTAGTATAAACAAATTGTCAGGCCTACTGACAATTTCCCTCATCCATAAATTCTAATGTGCTTTCACTGAACTGCAATTCGAGACATGAATACTTCACACGAATATTTTACAGATCAGACTCTGACCTGCTCCAGAACATGCGGCAGGTCTCCTAAAATGTGGGGTTCCCCCAAGCCGTGCCTTAATTCAGCCAGTAGCCGACTTCTCCCTGCGGAGGCCTGCATCAATTGAGTAGCAGTTCACGTGGGATTTGAGGGAAACAACACGGATAACACCAGGTTTCTCTCCCCGAGCCTGATTCCATTCATGAGGGCACAACAGATATCAGTACTAAGGATCTCATCTCCGTTCCGTTCACTTGCAGTTCACTTAAGGAGGCTCTAAGTAGCTCAGGTTACAGGCCTATAGCGTTAAGTGAATACTGGGTTACAAAAAACGTGAATGTGGACCTGAGTTAAGAAACTACATCGGGATATGCCAGAAGTGACTGAGGAAATTCAAGAATAACCTCAGTCAGGTTAATCAATGTCCTGGCCGAGATTTGAGCAGGCACCTCCTGAAAATAAGTCTACATTACTGATTCATTCCACTTGCCTGCTGTCTCAGTCTTGCTCGACTCATGTTATTTGCATTATCCAGTGGCGACTGGTGGCTTAAATACGAATTGTATGGTGACGTAATTTCTGGTATGGTGTCGATGGATATGGTACTAATAGCAGTAATAATAATTATGTCACGCTTTTAGGGGTGAGTGACTATATTGTTCTGCCACAAATATGTCTACCTGTTAGTCTAAGTTCTCACTCCCACCTCCATACAGCAGGAACTGGCCGGTGGAACATACTGCCACGATTGAGGGGTGTGACAATTGGCGGGATATGGATTGGTGAATGCATTTATTGGCCACTTATACAAACAACTCGGAACTACAAGTAATTACAACGCTATAGCTAATGTCCATGTATTAGAAATCACCACAGCATCCGTTAAATCTTTCCCATCATGCTGTGTTATCAGCCGTTTCCTGGCAACGGCTTCTAACAGTGGGGATTCTTCAGCTTCTGTGGTGAAGCCGTTGCCTGATGGTTTACACTCTACAACTGAGCTGTCAATTGAACTATAGCACTAGCTCTCTCAGCATCCCTTGCAGAACTCAACATACCATTGACTTTGTCGCCCCACTTGCCTTCAAAATAAACCCTCAGCACGGACCACGCAGAAAACACAGCTCCTTTATTGTTGTAGATGCATGTTTACAGCGCCGTTCTATAGCATCGGCTGTTATCTTCCTTGTTTCGAGGTCTTTGCCTACCAATGTGTCTATATTACCACTGGGTGAACATTCAATTGTAGTATAATAATAATAATAATAATAATAATAATAATAATAATAATAATAATAATCAAATGCTATTTATACTCTTCAATATTATTATTTCCTTCGTTAACTGAATCAAGAGGTAATGACATTTTGTCTCTTACGACTTTCCAACATATGTTAACTATATTTCTACTTCAACCTATTCCTAGGGTTCAAAGATTACAGGTTAGAATTTTCTTACTTTCACGGAACACATAATGATGCCAGAACATATCCCCCCATCGCTCATCACAGGCGTGTAATTTCTTGATTGGGAACAAACCTGATGATGACAATTCTTTCATCAAATGAAGTACAGTCTATCAAATAATTTCATGCGAAAGAATGCTCTGTACACTGAAGTGCACCAGTTCGATTGCACTCCCCAAATTAAAGCAAAGCTTACGNGTCAAAAGAGTGGGAATACAACGGCATAAAACGAGGTTCCCAGAACAACTGAGAGTCACTTAAAAATTCGTTCTAGGAGATTTCAGTCGAGAGAGATCCTCCAGAGAGAAGTAATTCATTCGTCAGGAATTCAGAAGGCAGTTCAACACTTGAACATTCAGCAGTTTAGTTGGTCCCCGAATGCAAAGCATCACAGGTAACAACTGCAACGGTGCTTTTGTTTCAGTTAGATTATATGATTTTTTTAATCTGTTTTTACTCTCAGTGATTCCATGGACCAGACCGAGCTCGCAATATTCAAAATGGAGGACTGAAACATGGCCGGATATTCCCGCAGCATCCCTCATGTTTCAACCAGGGATTATCTCAAGACTGCAAGTTGAACCTTGCAACTGCATTGAGGCGACGCAGTGTCCTGAGTTCCTTGAAACACTGGCCCACCATCCAGAAGAGGCTGAGGAGTTGAGACAAGTCACCTGTGGGTTCAAAGGATTCTGTCCCCTCGTGTGTTGTAACCAATTATCCAAGAGGCGCCACGTAGATGCAGGCTATTTCCCAACGTCTGGGACTTCCCCTCAACAAAACTGCAAACCTTTAACTACAGTAGAGTCCCGGATAAGCTTAAGTTCAACCCCTTCTCATACGCCTGGAGTGTATTACAGCATAACAACAGTCAGGAATTCGAACTCTGAATCCAGACGCAAACACTACGAAGGAACGGGATTACCTAACAACGACGACAAAAACAGGTTTTATCAAGACACCCAATTCAGTCCGCATGAGAATAACATCGTAACGCCAGGTTCCTCAGTACAAAATATCGGAAATAGTGACTCTGAACCAAATTTCATATCTAACGTGCCTGTAGCACAAGATTATTCCATAAGAACGCAAAATGTTTTGACTTACGCTACTGAAAATAGTCAAAGTTATCAAAACACTCCAACCAAATTATATCCACAGTTTAGTCACTCTACATCTAAACCAAGTTATCCGCACAGATCCCCCCCTCCGGGTTACTGGAACACAGAAACATCTCGTGATTCTTCTGTACCTGGTCGACATGGGTACAGCGCCGAAGAACATCGCTCAACACATGAGACTGGGATGCATTCAAACTACAACCCGACTGAAGCAGTACAAGGCAATCTCAATCAGCACAAACATCCATCACGTTATGTCCCTAACGATTACCCAAATCGCCCTGTTTACCAACGACCAGATCCCAGCGAAAACCAGCCAACAATTCCGAACTACGGACACGATCCCAGGGAGGATTCCTTTAATGGGCCAGATTTTCATGTGCAGTCTTCTGCCGAAGCAAATGACGACGGGCCTGAACTGCAGCTTCATCCCCATAATTACCACAATAATGACCAACATCCTCAGGAAGAGGGCCTTGCAGTTCAGTCTCCGGTGTTTTACCCAAACGAGGCAGGAAATACTTCCACACATTTTGAGGAGAGCGGCCGAGATTCTGCCGGAGCAGAGTGGAAACGGAAGCTGCTGCCAACAGAAGAATGTGGCATGTCGCTAGGTGAGCGCATCGTCGGCGGGAAGAACGCCGCGCTTGGACAATACCCCTGGATAGCTCGAATCGGATATACACGTGAGTAAAACATTGTTCTCAAAAGAGAAGCTTTGAAATGCGCATTCCACCAGATACACATTGACTATTTTTATAAACATGGTTTTTTATATTTTGCATATCCCATTTACTTTGATGGTCGTTTATCTGAGAAGCAAATCCACTGTTGTAGGAGTAATTACATTATAACATATTGCATAGAGGTAAAAATATTAATATGAAGGTAAAAAATGTCGGTAATAACTCATGACTCCTACTTTCTTTGAAATACTGGACGATTCATTCCGACGAGACCCTGAATGAACAAATTTAAACGATTCAGTAATTTACTAATAAAAATTAATCTTGATGATTATATATCTCGGAAGATGCTGATATAACAGGACTGAAGATAACGTCGAAAATGGCTTAGCTCCACGTGCAGAAGCTGGACGATATGATCCTCCATATTCACGAATGTTGCAGCCAGCATGACAGAAAGGCCTGCAGCAGTTTCGTCATGACTTCATGCAAAAAAGAAAAAAAAAGAAAAAAAACAGAATTTCATCATCTTCTGTAGCCCAATTATCTTCACATCTACCCATATGTACGAGTATACAGGACAAAATTTCTTCTCATCCATAAATTATAGAGTAATTTAGAGTTATTAATTCAGAGCCTCTTGCGAGTGAACCATTCTTTATTTTAGCTTACATGACGAGGACAGTAGAAACTATAAATACAGTAAAACTTGGTTATAGCAACATCGGTTTCTGCGACACCTTGTCTATTGCGTCAATATTCAATGGTACGAACTAATTCCTCATAAAGCAACTGTTTTTATACCTTGCTTAGTACGACATGCACAAATGCATCAACCTCGTATGTAACGTCATTTTTATTCCTGAATTTCTCTGATATGGACATTGAACGTAATTTAGAAAGTGTGTATTGGGCAAGTAACAGGAAACAGATGAAGATAACTGATTACTGTACTCGTATCTAGGTACAGTAAGGCACAACAATTGATGTAATCTACTGTAATTTGGTGAGTAGGCCTACCTTTAATATACAGTATTAGTGCGGTGTGTACTGTCAGTGAAAAGCGCTGTAATATGTCTTTGATATTAAAATTTGGGAAATTCCACNATTAACTGTGCACTTAAAGATTAACTTGTGTCTATATTATCCACCATTACATATCCTCACTACGTGATAGTTTAGCATATGCCCCCAAAATTTCCTACCGTCTTCATTTCTGCAGGTTTTAAGATATAAAAATATTTTATGCGTGTTTTTTTTTCCCACATATATCCAGCCAGAATTCCGCATAGAGCCTATTTAGGCTCAACGGTTCTCCAGTTACACGCACGAAATCCAAACAAACATAGATTTCTCTAAAAGCCTGTCTTATAAACTGGTGAACGTACTCAAGCTATACAAGTTAGAAATCATACGTGTAGCTCAGCAATTTTGGCTCATTCGCTATCTTTTGTTAAAGCCGTAAGTCACGGGAAGAATGTACTGGACATTAAATGTGTGCAGTAAAGCCTCGCGTAAGTTTGGCCTTGTTAAGACTGTTTCCTTACATTTTTTT